ATGCCTAGGTTATGGCGTTGTTGGCTAGAAGTATACCAAGAGAAGTGTAATTCTATGACATGGTTTTGCGTCGTCTCATGTAGAACCAACTGTATTGCCTTGACGAGGGAAATACACCACGTAGCGTATAAAACGAGTATATACTGGCCTCCAACCAGAGTACATTCAGATGGTCGTTGCTGTTGTTTCAGTGAAAATTGACATGGAAGGGCTGCAGGAGTGGTGGTGTTCTATGGTTATCAATTTTTGAGAGTGACATGTTGCATCTGTGCAGTTTGAACACAATTATAGTGCATGTACTCCGTATTCTGCACGTCATTCGTTGTCGACGCACAGCTCGAGAAGGGCAAAGGTAGTTGAGTTTTGACAATGACAGAGTCCTACGATGGAGAGCAATGTCTTTAGCACGGTGAAAGACTGACGAGGCTCGTGACGAAACACAAATCCAAGTGCTGGGAGAAGCTGGGGCCGGCCTGAAAATGACGTACATTTCTCAGCAGAAAGAAGAAGAGGGTCGTCCGACGCCCAAAGTGGCTACGTACAGCCGGGATTGTAATTATCGTTTTCCATGCGAGAATTCTCGACAGGAAATACAAACTGCACTATTGAGATGGAGGAAAAGAGCAACATCTCCATCCCCGCGACATGGGATTCGCTGAATTGGGTGGTTTGGGCGTCGGGCAATGGCTTCTCGCCACTTTGGCGATTGTGAAGTTTTGTGCCCAATCGGGTATTATACCTGGACGTGCATGGGGAACATGTGGGAGCGGAAAGCGCCCCACTGCTTGGGTCGATGGATGTGATGTCATTCTCTTGCACAGCTTCGTGAGGGCGTCGGTGGCCCAGACCCTGGCACCTGGATCCTCGTCGATGTGATCCACGATATAGTTAATCTGGGGTCATCGGGAGACCGACCCGTTCGGGGGGTGTTCCTGGCTCGCCTGAAATGTTTTGATGAGGAATTCGTTCGAGAGCAACGCTGATATCGCTGCACCGCCGTTTCTTTCGCTCAAAGATGGCGTACTGTTGGCGTTGGTTCTGCTCCCGCCGGTACTGCGTAATTTCATCACACGGGCAACAAGGTTTTGCCTCTCCAGAACAGCATGGAAATCCTACAAAAAGGCGACGTGGATCGGCATGGGAATACGCAATAAAAAAGCTGGCTTCCGCCATCTTACGTCACTCGACTTTACAGGTGGCCATGCGGGACACGCTTAATTTGATAGGCAGTCAGGACAAGGCAAAGAGCGAGGGGCGAGCCAACTGTGGAAATGTGGCTTGCCTAACTTCTCGGCAGGTGGCTTGTTCCAGGAATGACTTCTCCGAATCGGTTCAGCAGTGGTTTGTCGTGAGAAAAACCTGCCTTGACCTACTAAGGCCATAAGTAACTCTTTGCCCACCTGTTGGGCGTAGAGTGACCTAGAGACGCGCCATACTTGGTGCTCCCTCTATACACTACGATGAGACTACGACAACCACATAGCCAAAGACACAGGAGCCTTAATATTGTGGGTTACCAATAGCAGCTTGATGCGAATAGACTGATCGCGATGCAAGCTTTCTACTCCGTACGAGTTCATTGATTAGTATATCCAGAACAGGAAAGTTTAAAACGGGATGACAGGGTCCTAGCCTCAACAGGGGCTAGAACGACTATTCGGTCCAGGATCGCAGCTAACGGGCGACGGAAACGATGAAATTCTCGATGGCCTGAGCAATCTTGATGGCCGTTCTACTCCCACTGTAGGCTTGTCTGCAATCTAGGGAGAACTTCAGTTCCAATGTAATAGCGCTCCTATGATCTTCGCAAAGTGGCACAGATTGATTACTGAGGTGGAACTGTGGTGCTCCGTGAGCTTTCATGTTGCTGATAGACCGACACAACTTCCGTCATGGCCTGCTTCGCCGGACAAAATGTGCCGAAAAGATAATCAGCAAAAAAATAGAATTGCATGCTGACATGGCGGGAATTGAGACGGTCGAGGGCACATGTGTACTACCTAGGTAGGAAAATTGGCTCCGCTTGTCGAATGTGATGGTGATGGCCAAGTGGTTCCAGGACGCTTGAAACGGTTTCGTTCGGCTGGGTTGGTCGGTTTGGCGCCCGCCCCTCGACCCGACGACCCCTTGGCCGCAGAGCGGAGAAGAGTGGCCGGAGCAAAGTGTCCGGACCATTTCCTCCGGTCACCTAGTTCATGGATCACCAGCAAGGAGAACACCACCCCCATCTTTGCGCCACAGTCAGAAATGTTTTGCGAGGGACTAGAGAGCACCTTCGATAGATGAACTTGGGCTTGGACTTGAGTGCTTGGAGCCAGAGGGTCCGCAAGGGGTATTCGGAAGTGATGATTTCTCAGTTTGTAAATCAGTGATATTATTTGCACTTTGAATACTCCGTACAACGACGTAGTCGTCAAATATTCCTGAAAGAAGCGCACCAGGCTTGCGCGCAGGGATTCCTAGGGAGGGGCGGGGGACCCGAAAGTCTGGGGCGGGGTGCAGGGATGTTGGTGTGTGTTGTCTCGGTAGCACGGTTCATTAAGTGATGTGAAGTACAATAAACAAAAACCTGCTTAATTGTTCTTAGCCATGGAAGCCCATTTGACAACTTTAGAAGACGGGGTGGTATGCCTCAAGGACCGCCGAGGGAGATGGACCAAGGGTCTTCTGATCGTCGACCTGAAAGCGGAAGCACGAAGCGGATCAAGTGGAGGGGAGCAGCCATATGCATCTTTGTCCAGGATGACATGGCTGAGCTCCGGTCACTGAACCTTTCCGACGTAATGCTGATGCTGATGCTGATGCTGATGCTGATGCTGATGCTGATGCTGATGCTGATGCTGATGCTGATGCTGATGCTGAATGCCCAACATGAACATGGCAGATTGCGTCAATGTGAGCAGAGCCGCTGGAAATATTCCCTTGTGGACATGGACACATGTGCAAACCACACAGGGAAGGAGCGGGCTGTCACTAATACCGGACAGATCAGCGAAGGAAGGGGGCCCATAGACGGGGACGGAAAATTTACGACGTGGGAGCTTACACTTCGTCCTAGCGAATTAAAGAGACAGAACCATGTTGTATATCCTTTTACCTACTGCGTAGTGTATCTACCTACCTAGGTAGATATCTATTTACGGAGTATGCTCACTCGAAATACTTGCCGTAGTCAACCTTGAAAAAGACGACTCTCAAAAGTAGACTTGGTGTTCTGTCACCTTTGACGCCTGATCTTCGTCACAGAAAAGCCGTGTTGGACATAGCAAACAGGAGAAACATGGCCAAAGTGCATTCCTGATGCGCTCGGCATCTCGATCAAGATATTGGCCGTCCACGTCACGTTTCCCACCTTGGTACTCCGTACTCAAGCTGCTCATCGCCAGCTGCACGTTGAATGTTGGTCCAAGGAGTTGTCAGGCAGCACGTCCCCTTCTCCACTGGATTGCAATCCCAAGGTACACAGTACATGTGCAAATAGGGCACTTTGCGTGCCAACTTGGCTATCCTCCGCCTTGGACGGTTTTTAACTTCAACCCTTCCGAGACTTTGATGGACTGCAGGAGAGGCGATGCCTGTGACGGCTCACTAAACTCGCTAGCGTCCGGATACGGATAAGGCGGACCGCCAGAAGCTCGCTGGAAGAGGACTAGTCGTGATAGGGAGGGCAGAGAACCTGTCGACATCGGGAGCGAAGAGAGAAAAAGGGAAAGTGCAATGGTACTTCAAAGTGGAGCCCCAAAGATGCAAAGTTGGCATTGGCAAGGTACAGATATACAAATGGGCCCCACCTGAGCTATTTGTGCACGCTAGCAAGGCCACCTGGCTTGCGCCAAATTTGCGTCAGGCTTGCATCAAAGGTGGACATGCCTTGAGATCGATCTCCTCACTCAATTCTCGATCATAGGAGCTTCGATTCCCCATGGATCGAAACAGGCATGCCTTCAAGCCCGCCCAGCCATATGCCATCGCCGAAACAAGCCCATGGCACCAAAACGACGTCAATGCCCATGCCGATGCCAATTGCAATGCCGTGGTGCCATAGCAGCGGCAGCGGCAACGGCAACGGCAGTGGCGGAGGGAGAGACTGCGGTTTGTATAAAAACTTGGTCCCTCCTCTTAGCCTGTCACCATGCCGCTTGTCGTCCTCCCCTTTGGACGATTTGCTACTCCAACAGAGTCCGGTGAATCTTATTTCTCTTACCAACTGCTCCTACAACTTCTGGAACATCCATCCCTACACTATTGTCAATCCGAGACTAGTCAAACCTACCTAGAGTTCATATCGCGCAAGCTATCTGAGCTCCAACAAGTCGAGTTGGACCAAAACAGCATCGTGTCGTCAGTAGATCGACCGTCGCTACCCGCCTCTCCCTTGTTCTTCCTTTTCCCCTAATTCAAATCGGTCCAGAAGCTACAACGAAAGAGGCACAGTTCGCTGTATAGTTCTGGCTCAGCCTGAAGACTGCCTGAGGACTGGCGCTCGCTTCTCTGATAGGTGCCACCCAACGCAAAGCTAAAGCTTCCAGAGTGCCTTCGTCGAAACGCCACCAAGCCATCTCAACGAAAACAAAGACGAGGCCAAGGTAGAACCCGAGGTCGGACGAAGCAGCCTGTGGTTTTATGTTGTTTCATTTTTACCACCTTGTCCGCCTTTTAAAATTTACGCCGTCTGCGATTGACATTGGTGGCAGAGGAGTATTCCTACCAATTTCTCGACTTGAAACAGCCCTCTGCAGCGCTAAATCACGACTCAAATCTGTCCACCACCTCGAATATAGCATAAGACGCCTCTTTTCTCCCGGTGTGTTATTTACAAGCCGCCAAACCTTGTAATTACAACACCGTGTGCTTTCAATACTGGTCACTGTGCCAACCTTGTGCCCATACTTCTATATAAAGGACCATCTCAAACCCTAAAGAGAAAATCCTCCCGGCCTCCTTTCAAAGTCACCATGCCCAGAAGATCGATAGACGTGGGAAAGTTAAACGGATCTACAATGAATGATACTGTAGCTCGCAAGGTACGCCACGGCTTTTGCAATGCACGGTTCTCGAAACAAAACTAGCGTTTGGTCTTTACATTCAAAGTAAACACATCAACTAACATTTCATGTAGACAGAACGTTCTCATGAGGAAAATCAAGAACGTGCATATATTGCCGCTTCGAGGAGAGCAGACAGAAGTATAGAGGCTCGAGTCCAGTCGGCTCGCCAGGCAAGCGAAATCCACAAGAAGCGCACTGGAAAGGGCTTCAAAATCACCGAGGATATCGTCATGAAGGAAGAAATGTATGAAGAGGAAGATGATGATATGCCACGCTCTATTCATCTTCTCACTGCACACATGGCCACGCAGTCTGCCCAAATGAACTCCAGACTGGAGAGCTATCTCGCAAACAAGGTGGCATTTTCCCATGCACTCGCTCAGTCTAACATGGCTTGGCGAAATCATGGTGTCAATCGGGCATTTGCGGAGTCCTTCCCAAACGCCTTACCGCCTCATCCACCGAATATCTCTCAGCCTCCAAATGGCTCAGAGAATGTCAATCTGCCCAACCAAGGCATTCATCAACGTTCTGAATGCTATTCTCCTCCACCGGCCTATTCCCCACCGGCCTACTCTCCTACAAACTATTCACCTGCACCCTTCTCTCCAGGCCTGCCAGCTTCGATGTCTCCGACAGCACCGGCAACTGGATCAGGATCACTGGCGCAGTCTACACATCCCTTTGTGTCATCTTTCCCATACCAGCCTGCAAGAAATGACAACAGGAGACGTTCGCGAACGTCTATATCACCAAACAGAAGACGGCGACATGCACACACCAAGTCACCACCCGCACTAGGAAGACAGGCAAATTTGTCACCCCCAGCAACACCAACTTCAGCAACTACTCCAAGTCTAGACAGCAACTTGACCGCGGATACACCCAGTGATTCATTTGAACCAACCGCTACCCCTGGTGACGCATCTGCATTTACAACAGTGTTGCCTGCAGAAGCGCGTATGATCTTGGACGGCGTTGGTGCTGATGATGTTCTGTGCCAGACTCTGGCTGGCCAGGACCTATTCAACGGTCAGGGCGGCTTTTCACAGCCATGGATGGACCCGTCAGTTGTATACGACTCGTCCAGCATGCCGCGTGCCTCTTCGATGGACGGGTTAGATCCTGGATTTGTATCAAATCTGTATGGGAATGGCACAATTGACTCAATGGCGTCTAAGTGTGCCATGCCTCCACCCACTGACGAGGAGTCATGGAGCGTATTCATCAACGAAAATATTTGGATGGCCGACCAAAATCAGTAATTCTGATGAGACACCAGCATGATGCATTCTGGGTTTGTGGGCGTTTGCTGCATAATCACTACATCTTGATACCCGGTTCTCTTTCAACTTTTGAAGGGAATCATAGCAACTGCACTTGAAGAGTCTGAAGAGTTTGGCATTTGATAGCGGCATGTCAGGTGAGGGGGAAGATGTGCTCAGGCGTTTAAAAGCATAGGTTTTTTTATGTCTTTTCGAGTTGGTTTGTGCAGGGGGGTCGTAGGCTTTCTGTAGCCTTGAACGCTAGGAGAGACCAAGTTGGGATCAAGAGCATTGCCAACATCCTCACTTTATAATTGACAGCCGCGGTAATATCCATCTCCTCACGCAATTTGGATGCTCGACACAGCATAATAGATAGTAGGCGCAGCAGCTTGGCTTATAGTAGCCTTATTCTTAACCCCATCTTATAGTTACTAGCTCTTCCTCCCTGTAATTGGCCATGGGGAATTCTGGTTCAACTGTAACCTCATTCTGGTGTCTCTGTTAGGTTACATAATATTTACACTAAAAAAAAATATTTAGTACAGAACGATAAATACAAGACTTGTTATCTTTTCTAGACATGGCTTTACTTGGAAAACACCAGACAGAGCGTTGGTATCAAGTTTAAAACGAGTCTGGTGGGAGCTTGTAACGGGCGGGGCCATTTAGTCCGATAGGTGAAGTTGAATCAATTTAGGAAGCAGGTCCGGCCGGAGCCAACTACCTAGGTACTTGACGGGCTGAGCCCGGCACAGCACGAGCTCTATAGCACCAGGCATACCAGTTGACATGTACCAGATACACCAGAAGATCCCTATCAAAGTCAAAGTGGGATCATGCTATCATCCAAATGGGTTGCCTGATCTGCCAGTGTTGGATCTCTACCAATGATGCCTCGTACGGCCTCGCAGCTTCAAATGTTGTGCATTTTGGTCAGATGACGAGTGGTCGTCTGTGGCCGAGTATGTATCCGCGGTGCCGAAATCAAAAGACATGTGTGCTTCGCACAGAGACGATTCCTCTTCCAAGAACCAAGACATGCACTTCTCTTCACGTGTCCACGTTAAACAGTGACTGATGGGCAGTCAATTTCAGCGGTTCCATCTGAACTCGGGTGTACAAGTACATTTTTTTTCCTTTCCTAATAGTACTCATTCTTCATCCTTGCGCGTCCTCGTGTGCTTTCTACCCTGCTTCCTCCGTGGGATTGTGCTTATCCCCCTCATCTCGTCCCTTCGTGTGCGTCACAGGCCGCGTTGGCTGAGCATCAATCTCCCTCATCCACGTCTTCCAATCGCCCCTCCTCGTCTTCCACATGTCGCCCTTCCAGGTACGCCATACGCTTCTGCCCATCCAGCTCTCTCGCAGTTCGGCTTCCTGGTTTGCAAGGCGCTGCATGATGGATTCCTTGACGTGGAAGGGGATGCTGAAGTCTTTGCCTTTGCTAGGGACGTCGGCGATGCTGTTGACGAGGTTGTGGCCGGATTGGGAGGTGGATAACTCGGCGAGGTGGGGGGAAACCGTGGCCACGAGGGATTTCTGGAAGAGAGAGTTCTGGGAGGGCGTTGAGAGGGCGGTTGTGAGGAGCGTGACGGTTGGCATCGAGGTTGTTGCGAGGCGGAGGAGCTGGGGGGTTGGGAGGGCGAGGATGGATTCGTGGACGGCTTTGAGGGACCCTGGGATGGAGAGTAGAGTTGTGAGCAGGGCTGCGCCGTGAGACTGCACGGCGTATTCGTTTCGTGTGACTTCGTCTTTTGATTTGGCTGGTTCTGAGAGGTGGCAGAGGGTGGTGACTAGGTCGGCGGGCTGGGAGCCGCTGCCTTCCTTGAGGCCCTTGGTGAGTTTCTTGACCTGGTCGTTGATGCCGCGCGCGAAGCAGCGCTCGAATAGGGCACGGAGGACGTTGTATCTCGTTTTGGAAACGAGTTGTGGTACCGTTGGGGCGATCTTGTCCGCCGCCGTGACGAGATCGTCCTTGCCGATGCGGTTGAGCACCTTGATGGCGGGGTAGCAGCTGATGTCGTTGCGCACATAGACTTCTATCCTGGGCAGGAAGAAGTTGTGGTTGAGCGGTTTGAAGACCTTGCCGGGGCAATGTGCGACGAGGGTCTCGATGAGGCGGGAGCCGATTTGGTCGTAGATCATGCCGTTGATGAATTCGGATGCTTCCGAGGCCGGGTCGGAAAGGGATTTTGGTGCGCCGGGGAGGAGGAGCTGGAGGAGAGAGGGCGGTGCGGTCTCAGGCCCTGACGGCTCCGATGGCTTCTTGTCCGTCTTGTTGAGGGCCATGTCCAGCTCGAGGAGGAGCTGCAGCGTTGGATTGCCTATGGGGTGTCTTGCGAGGACGCGGAGACCCGTGGAGCCGACGCCCGCTGTTGAATCGGCTATGATCTTCTGCACTGCCAGCGTAAATGAGCCCGGTACGGCCCGCAGTCCCTTGTTTTGCTCATCAGCAGCTGCTGAGCCAGCAACCGAGATGTTCTCCTTCTTCTTGCTCTTCATGAGTGTCTTGACGGACACGTCGTCCAGGGGCCGGCCCGATAGAACCAGGAGCAGAACTCGCAGAGTGTGAGACGCAAAGCGGTCGGTTATCAGGTAGCTCAGGTTGCCTTCCAACTCATCCAGTGTCGCCAGGAACAATTCTTCCATAGACGCTTCCGGTTGGTGTTCGTCGGCTCTCGCGCCCTTGATGTCCATCGTGAACCCAGCAAGCTCCTGTGTCACGATACCCGCAGAGCGTAGAAAGAGCGCCTCACAGCAATGGCTGGCGAATCGGTGCTGCACGAGGGACAAAAAGTGGCCGCCGAACGCATTGAAGAGATTTTTCTTCTGCTTCGTATTTGACAGTTGGATTAGGCGCTCCATCAGCCGTGAGCAAGACTGGCTACTCGCGAGCTTGAGCTCCTTGCCTTGGGCCTCTTTGAACACGCTCTCTAGGAAGATATCTCGGTCCTCGGTGGTGGGAAATTGGTTCAATTCGAGCATTTCGTCGGCTCTCCTGAAGTATTCCTGCTCTTCGTCGGCCAGCATACCGAAGAACTCTGTCGGGCCATTCTGCTGCTGTTGGTATTCTTCGATTGGGGTGTCCTGCTGATCGCGTAGCTGCAATTCGTCCGCCATGCGGCGTCGGCGTTTGGACTCGTACTTGGATTCGTCAGCATCTTCGCCTCTTCTCTTGCGCTTCCGTTCTTCACGGTCAGCGCCTCGTTTCGTCCGTGGCTTGGGCATTTTGTTTGAACATGAAGTAAGTGTACGGTGGTGGTGGTTGAGTGGTGGGGCGTGAAGTTGAATTGAAGATGGCCAGCGATTTTTTTTTTCTTGACAGTCAGTAATCGATAAGAATGCTGCGTATCCGGGCTACAGGCCAGTCTAGCATCACCAACCGGCAGACAGACCCACCAGGGCCAATTTTGGGAACTGGCATTAATCGCATCTATCCGCAGACTGATTCGATTGATTTGTCTATCCCAAATAGAATAGTTACGTTGTTGCGCGCTTGTAGTCGTCTATATTCATCCATCATGCCATCGTTATATCCACCCATGTTCAATCGGTCTAGGCCATTCTATTATATCCTGTAGATCTAAGCCACTTCCTTTCCAGCCTCCTCCAAAGCCCTCGTCAATCCCTCGACCGTGCTTGGCAATGTCTGGACATTGACAACAATTCTCAGGAAACTTCCCACGTCTCCAGGGGCATAGTCCACCATGAAGCCCCTGTCAATCAATTTCTCAACTAGGGCCTGAGTGCGATTCGTGTTCGTCGCTGCATCGCTCGACAAATCGCCGCCGGGTGCGTAATAGAAGCACACTTGGAGGCACGGGGGCGGGTTTTCCGACACCATGGCAAAGTTGCCCGTCTGCTGCACCAGTTTCCACAGGTAGGACGCCATATCGAATGCGTGATCAATTTGCTTCTCGAAGCCGTTGGCACCGTAATACAGCCATGCGAGAGCAACCTTTAAGCTGTCGCCTCGGCGGCCGCACTGCAATGTCAAATCCGCAAGGTCCCAGACATCGTCCTCCGTGCTTCCGTGGAAAAGATAGCCGGCATCAGTGGTATTTGCCTTGTTGAATAGGCTCATGTCTGGGCCCAGCAAAAAGGAACATGTGGTGGGCGCATTCAACATCTTGTGGGGGTTGATGGTGATGGAATCGGCGAGATGAGATCCCTTGACCTTCCACCTCTGCCGCGCAGAAAAGACGACTGGCCCGCCCCAGCTAGCGTCAATGTGCATCCAGAGACCGAATTCTTTGCATATTTTTGAGATATCCTCGAATGGGTCGTAGGAACCACGAACTGTAGAGCCCGCAGTGGTGTTGACGTACAACGGGGTCTTTCCCTGCTCCTTGGCACGAACCACCAACTCGCGAAGAGCATCTGCATTCATCCTTCCGCCATCGTCAACGGGCACTTTCCACACATTGGATGAGCCCATGCCACAGATCATGGCGCTCTTTTCCACAGAGTAATGGCCATGGGCGCTCGTGAACACAACAAAATCATGCTTGACGTTGCCCTTGGTCTTGCAGTCCGGGTACAAGGTGTTTCGTGCAACGACCAGGGAGGTAAGATTTGAAGAGCTGCCACCTTGACAGGTTACGCCACCAGCCCTCGGGCCCGTGAAGCCAAACTTGTTGGCCAATGCGCGTCCTGTTGTCTTTTCGATAATGGTAAGTGCCGGCGAGACTTGGTACACATGCAGCTACGCAGAACTCGAGTTAGCCAAGGAGATGGTGACAAAGTGCCTTCTTTTTCCCGGAGAGGTGGGCGGGTGACGAACATTCGTGTTGAGAGTAGACAGGACAATGTCTGAAATAACGCCAACCTTTTTTCTCGAAAGTCAATACATGTCGTGTGAATCCTGCTTCAATTTCAGAGGCTGAAGCGGCACAACATACCGGATTGTTGCTTGCATACAGCTTATCGAGAAAACCCTGGTCCCAAGTATTAACGCTGTACTTGAGCACCTTTGCGATGCCCTCCAACAGCCCCTCCTTGCCCTGCCCTTCCTCGGGCAATATGAACTTGAGATGTGCAGCGAGGATGTGAGGCTTGACGGCGTCGACGAGGACATTGTGAGGTGTGCCAGTGGCGTCGAGCGGGAGCCGGCCTGTTTCCCGATGAGCCGCGGCATCGTCGGCGGCTTTGACAAAAGGCAGAATCAAGTCGCGCACGGCCAAAAGCAGCTGATGCACGTCAGCAAAAATGTGAGGCAGGTTCACGAAGCCGGGATATGCAGCAAAGTCCTGTTATCCTATACATACATCATCCAACTCTTCGGCTCTATTCAAGCGAGTGGTTGATCCATTGGCCGCGTTCCCACGCACATGACCATTGGTCGCCGTGGCAGTCACGGTCATGTTGCTCTTTTCTTTTTTTGCCTTATTTTTTCCCCGTCTTGTATAGTCGAAGACGATGTAGGGTAAGGTGGGATGCGCTGAGACGATAATGTGTCTTGCTGGTGTGCTGCGCACAGTTATACAGGGATAGAGGGGGGACGAGGGAGAAGAAAAAACACGCAATTGATGAAATGATTACTCCGTAGTTCACGTAAAGAGAGAGGCAAAAAAAGAGGGATCAAGGCGAGAGAGAAGTTGCGAAGAATAGGATAACTAAGCCGAAGACGAAATGGGGCTGCAGATTGCGAGATGTGAGCCCGCAAAAAGTGGCGTCAAATGGCAAAGATCTTTTTGGATGGGCATGCTTTGTCAGCCGAGTATTTCCTCGGTGTTGAGTTGAGGCTGTTCTGCTACTTGTGCCTGAAGCCCCACTTTCCGGCTATTTGAGCAGTGGTGAAGATGAATGAGCTTTTGAATGTCAAGTGGACGTATTACAATGTAAATGGTGAATGCCGTGGACAGTCAATATGCGAGATGCGCAATCTACATGCAAGGACCTGGTTCAACTTTTCAATTTGACGCTGATTGGTGGTTTTGCTGTCCATTGAGCATCAGCACCCATTCTGCATCCACGTCGGCATTATTGCCGGCACCAATGGATCCCGTCAGCATCCAGGCGGGTCGTCGCCGAAGCTGGATATCTGTACCTGATACAGGTGGTCGAGGACTTGGCTGCTTCAGTGTTGCAAGGGAAAGCAGCCAGACTGTTCTCTACATGATAACCCCCTGGTACTCGGTACATAAGCAAGAATGTCTGTCCGTCGAGAAGTCGTCCGCTTGGATTGCAAGCAACTACCCGAGTACCTAGGCTTTACACGCTGCTCAACTTGCTCAGCTCACTGCCCAAGTCAAGATATAAGCCCCATGGCTGGCGCCAAACAGGGAACCGCCGTTCAGTGTTGAAAGTCTGCCAAACCAAGCGTCAATCACAGCCTACTTAAGTAGTCGAACGGCCGTGGGAACAGACGCTAGTATCGGTCGTGGCATGATTTTGACAGGAACATGCGCCTCAGTTTGTACAATGCTTCCCACGCATCACCTGGTTGACGACACAACACGACCATGGGCATGGCCACTCCTGCAGTTCGACTCTGAGAGCAACTTGGACCGTGCAACTAACCACCCCACATTCGTACCCAGGCGCGAACGGTATCCTTTTATCTTTTATTTTTTATTACCTTTTTTTTGTAAAAAAAAAGAAAAAAAAGAAATTATTTATTTATTTATTTAACTGAACAGAGGCCAGGTGCGCATTAACCGGATGGAATTGAAACTGCACTGCCCTTGGCACCCTCATGGCTCCAAACCCCCGCTCTTCGCTGCAATACCATCTGACAAGGTCAAGGACTCAAGGTCCTGGCCGGGGTCACGTCACTCACTGCTCACGGACAGAATCATGTCGCACCTTTTCAACGAACGGCCCCATAGTTATGGAGTGCTCAAGCGAAAAAAAAAGAAAAAGAAATGATTTGATGTCTCCATGCGGCCCATTAATCGTGGACTCTCTCCCCCTCCACCAGCAGAACCCTGTCGTCTCCATGTCCATGCTCTTGGCTCATGCTGGCACATCAGTTCTTTGTTCGGCCCATCTGGGAGCCTGGAAGATGGCAGATATTAACCGAGCAAGTAGATAAGAAGTCTATACCGCGCACCTTGAACGGGACAAAGCACCAAACACCAACTGCTGGTGTTTTCATTTCCCCCTCTCCTCTCATCGTTCCTGCCCTCGAATCTCCACATCGCCAGCGCGGAGTATCTTGGCTGCGCATACAACAACCAACCAGTCAGCGTTATTAGGCATTGCTTCTTCCACGACTAGAAGAAGGGAAAAGAAAGGATTAAACACACACACACACACAGAGCCCAAAAAAAAAGGAAAAAATCAAAAGGGATTAGACGCTCCAATCCCTCCCTGCACTACGCCAACGGCATCCATCACCACCCATTGATAGATTCCTCCAGAGCAGCCACCCCTTGCAAACCGGCCGGGCACTACATCTACGTAGCCACGGAACATTAAAGCGAGAGCAAAAAAGACCAACAGGAGCTGATTTTTTATCAGCGCGTGCCGTTTTCTTGGACGCCCCGCCCTACGATCTTGCATCTTGGAACTCGACGCCTATTTGCGAGCTGCTGCTGCATCACATTTTCCTCGAGTCGCACGACAGGCCGAAACAAGGGACAGGAGATTTTGTGCCCTGTCAAAACATCACGAGGTGGGAGGGACCCTGGCAAACCCGGGAGACTTGAGGGACCTGAAATTTCTGGACCTTGGAGCACATCCTTGCGAGTCGCGCCACGCATTTTCGAAGAACTTCTACTCCGTCCCCGGTAGACTGACAGGGTCTTGGTGTTGGGTTTTGCGCCCACGGCCTGGAGGCAAGATTGGCCTAATAAAAGCCTTTGCATACATTCCCATCTCGATCCCCCTTTGGGCCTTGGAGCTTTGGGCACCATAGAGAGATTTTGCTTGCGTTGTGTGTGACTATTCACCAGCGTGACGGGACACTCTCTATTCTTGTTTTTATTTTTCATTATCCTTTTTTTTTTTTTGGCATCGAGGGTTGTCTCCTCCTATCTTCTAATCTCGGCAAAAGTCTTGACCGTGTGTGCTCAGCGTCAAGCATCCTGGCTTGACCACGCGAAAACCCCCTCCCAAAAATCCCTTCCTCCGCACCCCCTCCCCAATCGCTATCGCCAACCATGTCCTCCCACGGCCAGCAACCCGCCGTCCCAATCTCCATTACCATCTGCGGTGACGGCGGGTGCGGCAAGTCATCCATCACGCTGCGCCTCGTCCGCTCGCAGTGGACGTCGGAATATGACCCCACGATCGAGGACTCCTACAGCGTCACGCGCCGCATCGACGGCACCACGTACCACCTCTCCCTCACCGACACGGCCGGCCAGGAAGAGTACCGCGGCATGTGGGCGTCGTCCAATCTCGGCGCCGACGCCTTCCTCATGGTGTACGACATCACGTCGCGCGACTCCCTCGACGCCCTCCAGTACTTTGACGATCTGATCAACATGGAGGCCGAGACGCGGCTCGACAATGCTGCGCGCGCGCGCCGTGCCGGCGTCAATCCGGGCCACGTCAATACCGGCGCGGCCAGCGGCTCCAAGACGGTCCCGCCCGTCAAGATCGTCGCCGGGAACAAATGCGATCTCCAGGAGAGCAGGCAGGTCCCCGCCGCCATGGGCCTTGACTGGGCGCGCAAACGGGGCTGCGGGTTCATGGAGACGAGCGCGAGGCTCGAGGTCAACATTGAGGAGACGTTTGCCCTCATTGTGCGCCGCGTTGTCGAGAGGAGGCGCCTCGCCGAGATGGGCGTCATGGACAACACCGAGATGAACGCCCGTGGCATGACGAAACCACTAACCCCATTGCCCGCGGAAAGCGACTCGGAAAAGCGAGCTCCTGGACTGCGGGGACCGACTCTGAATGGCCAAACCTCTGTTGGCCGTGGCCAGGGCGGATTCTGGAAGAAATTGCGATGTTGGTGATGGCTTCTGATTTCCAGGTCTATTTTTTGGGGGCATTGTTCCATATACCATACTTGCGTTTGGCGTCTTGGGGGTATTCAAAATGGGCTGGATGTGTTGGCCTTATTTTCTCTTCATTTTGTAAATGTTGTTTCGGCTTGTATAGGGAGAGGCTGCGATTCCCTGGTTTCGACATGCGGCAATGTGTTTTTGTACATGAGGTTGATCCGTGGACGATGCGACGTTTGGGATTATGATGTATGGCGAGCGAGCTTTTGCACAGCGTGGCAGAATTCACAAGAGCGGTTTGTTAATGTTGAGTACCTTCCTGGCTGGCCTTGTCATCTGCTGCCTATCTACATGGGTACCTGGTCGGTACTTGCGTAGCTGCTAGAGATGAGATTCTTGGGCTCTGTAGCATCGCGTCTCAAAAAGCAAGCGTGGGTGAATGTGAGTAGTGTATTACGACTGCAAAGTCCTTGCTAAGCTTCCCTCGCTTCCCTTGGAACGCCCAAACCCAAGTCTCAAATCAAGACGCCGGCACCTCTTCTTTGTCTATAACGTTGGCATCACTGCTTACTAACAAGCCAATCCTTCCACTTCTTATACTCGGGGTAATTCAAGCTCGCCTTCTTGCCTTGGTACCTCGTGACCTTGAGCTCCAGCGACTTCCACCTCGACCGGCCGCCCATCCAGCCCGCTTTCCGGATGAGGCTATACAGCGTCTCATCCTGTGTCCAGCCCTGCTCGGAAGCCACATCCGGCAGATATGTCGCTCCATAACGGTGTCCCCTGTCGGTAAACGACAGCCGAATGCCGTGGGTGCCCACCTCCCAGTCATAGGCGTCGTCGGCCTCCTCAAAGTCGGTCAGCAAGGTCACGGCAGCCTGTAGCTGGGGCAGCTCTGCCTTGACAATGGGCGAGAATCGCGTGTCGTGCAATGCCGAAATGATCGCGTACTCGGGCAAGCCGATGCTGAGGGGCTGGGACTCAAAGGTGCCGATGCACCCGCGCAGAGAGACGTCGTCCCCCGAGACGGTGTTCCAGGTGACAAACAGCGGGGCAGACGAGGTGCCCAGCGACAGCGAGGATATCGACGTGGCGGGCGTGGACGAGGACCACGCGGGCGACGCGGAGGATGAGGACTCGGAGGAGTCGGCGTCGGCGGCGAGGCGGCGGAGAGCTGGTGCTTTGGGAGCCTGGCCGCTGCTGGACGCGCCGGGTTCCGAGTCTGATACGGAGCTCGTGTAGAGTGCCCAGGAGGACTCGACCTCGCTGAGGGAGAGGGGCTCCCGGTCCTCGAGGTGAGCGTCGAGGGCCTCGAAGCACATGAGGCAGTGGGCTGCGCTGGCCATTGTGGACGGGATCGGATCGTGTCCGCTCAAGAGGGCAAATTGAGCGGACAGGGAGGCAGGGGAGGGAGGGACAACAACGAAGCGGCCGGACGACGGGCGCGGGCTGGTAAGACGAAGCAGTCTACGACAATGATGACGGAGCAGGCGGGAAAGCAGCGACTGATCTGAACCTGGTTGGCGTGGGTTCAATGCACGGGAGCTTTGCATTGACCGCAGCCGTCGGGTGGCTGGGGGCAGAATGAAGAAGCGGCAAAGCTGGAGCTAAAGCTTTGGAAGGAGACCAAGAGCGTGAATGAGATTTAGAAGACTGGAGGGAATTGGAAAAGCAAGCATGGGCAAGACACGGCGACGCGAGGCAAAGCAAGGCGAGCTGACTTGGGATGTGAGGAGTTGTCAGAGGAGGTCACTTTTGGGTCATCAGGCTCAAGTGCTCGTCACCCCACTTGGAGCACATTGGGAACCCCGCGATTGCCGATTGCGCAAGCCCAGGCTTCAAAGGGAACAAGCTGCCAAACTGTGTGTTCCGAATGGTGCGAGCGGCGCAGACGCCATCAAAAAATCTGCGGCGACAATGGGGCCAATTGGCATACTTGAGCTTTGGTTGACGGAGTGGGACAAAGGTCTTGTGATGGGCGGAGGTGCAGTGCCATTGATGTTGGAGGCGCAAAATAAGGCGATGACGTGGACGGAAAGGCAAACGCCAAGGGCACGTCGGTCTGAGATTGCACGGAGTCGTGGCACAGAGTGATTGCTTCAACGTTTTTGTGCCGTTTACATTCAAAGCTGGCGAGGACTACGTGCCACTCGCGAAGCTTGGTTACTTTGGAGGAGATGTACTGTATCAGTTGCATACGGCAGCGTTAATAATGCAAGCAGCCGGATTTTCAAAATCGCCGATGTTCCGGCTTCCTCAGCCGGGCCGAGAAATCGGCCTTGACCTGCACAGCTTTCCCATGATAAGCCAAGAATGCTTCACTGGTTCCAATCCGACCCGACATCATCTAGGCTTGGAACTACGACCTTGCCCGTACGCCGGCGCTAGGGCTGTCGAGGCGGTCGTTCTGACCGGAACTCCAGCCACGCGTGTCTGATCGTCTCTCCTGCTCCACGCCCGAAAGTTGCCTGAAGCACCTCTGCGTTTCAGCATGTTTTAAAACCATCACAGCCCAGTCTTGCATCTCCGATTCATGCCCTCCCTTCTAGTATCTCGACCCCATGCGACGCTGTATGAAGGCTTGTTAAGAGGAGATCTGACAGTCCGACAAGCCTTGGTTTCGCCAATACCAAGCTTTGCCTTCCGCGGCCATCTCATATATTGCGCTCCTGGTCTGATAAAGATCAGGCTATATTTGGGACAGCTGCGGCGAAGTTGGGATGCGTCGTAGTTCGTTTTGAGAGGGGTCTGGCCCGGTCTCAACTTCTTGCAAAAATGATTGCTGACACTATATTTGGTCCATAATTTGTCATTTGTTCCTTTTTCCGCCCGGCGGCTCACCGTATCCCATGCAGAATACCGTACCAGATGAAGTCTGGGGTATTCTTATGCCGGAGGCATTGCAATATCTGGGCCCGTGTTTCGTGCCGTGGGGGGGGGGGTTCGACCGATGTTCATAAATGTGTATATATATATACATGTTGTTCTCCCATGGCCCTCGTGGCTAGTCTCTTATCCGTCAGTCACTCCCTCCGTCACTCCCTCCAGCTGGTAAAAAAAAGTCGACAATAACAAGCTCTTCCTTCGCTCTCCTCATACAATAAGCCTAATTCTTATTCTCCTTCTGGACGCATACATCCCCTTTTATCAAAATGAAGTTCTTCGCCGTCACTCTCTTGGCTCTTGCCACTGCCGTCATGGCCGCTCCCTCAGGTCCGTCAAAGCGTGTCATAGCAAAGCGTCAGAACAAACCGGCTAACCTCGTGGCAGGCAATGACAAGGACATCTTTATCCGCCAGGAGTTTGTCGTTGACACCGACACGGCGGCCATGACGGACTCGCAGGGCAATGTCGTTCCCTTTGATTCCTCCAACGTCAACCTGGCCAACACGGATGCTGGATTTTAATTGAAATTGGAACAAGGATTGCTGTTTGCAAAGTAAACACGGCGGGCTCCGAGGCCTCGATGGTCTTGGGGAGATGTCTCAACGTGTTTCGGTCACTCGTTTAGCTACGGCCACATGGATGGGCTAGGCGCTACCAGATGGCGCCGTGGTCTTTTCTGAGGCTTGATGAATTGGAGACACTGATGATGGTAGCCTTAGCAAACAACGCTTGGCCCTGCGATGCTACAGTTAATGAAGAGACGCCGGTTCCAGGTAGAACCAGGTGTTGCAACTTCTCTCGTCAAGCCGCTTGCGTGTATCCTCCCCGGGTGTCTATGTGAATGACTCGACCTACGAGTCAAGCTCAGTGAATGGCCTCTTTGCCCTGTTCCTGCGCACGTCACAGCCGAGCCATGTGAAGCCTGGGATTGTAAATTATTAAGCATGTTGTAGCGATGTGGGCCTGACGAGCATCAGGCTAGCAATGTAATCCAAGATGGCGAACTGCAACCATAAACAGGCCAGAGGCGAGAAAAATATAAATTAAAGAAAAAGAACAATTGATCATGTAACCGGCCAATTGCCTGGTCAGGTGTTTGGTGGTTCTGAATCGCGATCACAATCTGGCGTCCATGACGACCTTGCCATGGCATTTTCTAACCTCAGGACTTCGACTCGGGCTTCGACTCCGCACATCCAGCCGAACAGGCGCGCGTCAAAAAGTGCCCCTCTGCTCCGGGGATAGATGTTCCCTCTTCATGTGTGTCAGGCGCGTCTTTCGGAGCTTTGTTTGACGAGGCATCTTCTCTTCTTCTATGGTTCTCCCCGCACAGCCACGCAATTTCCTCGACGTCACTGGTGGTTGAATCACGCCCAACCGTCCAGCTTTGGCCGGGCCCAACCTTCATTCAGGCTCTTTGGACGAGATTGACCTGGAGACTGGACGCTCACAGTGCAGCAGCGGGTCTGGGGCTGCTGACATGCGGAGTCCGAAATCAGCCCTGCTGGACTCCCCTTTCATCACGCCAGGCTTGAGGACAGATGCTTCGTGTGTTCCTTTCCTTTTTCGAACCCTGGCATTGACTGCTTGGAACTACGTCTCTGAAGGAAGGAATTCGCGCTGCCATGACAAGCCATGGCCAGCAGGCAAGGATCGATATTCAAACCAGGCTCCCTTGGTGGAGAAGGAGGCGAGAAAATGGCCTTGTTCTGACGTGAGACGCAGAATCTCACGACGCGCGTTATTTTGCAATCCTTTTAGATTCCCGTGCTATTCTCTCTATTCTTGGAATCGGGCATGAACTTGCAGGTGTCTTCACCTCTGGCCAGCAAGTCTAGGGCCGTGTGTCTGGTTCCAGACCAAACGTTGGTCGAGCCCGTTTTCCCACATGAGGTTGTACAACCACAGCCAAGAGCCAGTGCATTATTTTTCCTTCTCCCTTGACCGACACTGGGAAAACATGCGTCGTCGTCACAAAGCGCGGCCAATGAGCGCATCTCCGAGTCTCCGTGCTCTGCGCCAATATTCCTGTCTCGCCGCGCCCTCATCAGCTCTGCCTCAGCCGCAAGCCTCGGGCGCTCTGGTGTAATCACTCACACTGGGGGTAGGCAGAATCCCACGGGGTAGTGAAAACCGGGGATCCAGCTCATCATTGACGGGGCATCTGGGCTCATGGCCTTTGTCCCTGCTTGTTGCCGGGCACACCGGTAGGCTAAGGATATAACGCTGATCGTCTCCGGCTGTGGATGGCTTCTCTGTGGATGGCAGCCTCATGCCTGCGGGACGAGCCTCTTGCATTGCCAAGTGGGGAATCGTTGCACAAAATGTTGACATGACATGGGGTCTTGAGAGCAAAGATGAGGAATACTATGCCTGGAAATGGCAGACCGGGCTGTCCCGAGGCCGAGGCAGCCTAATAAAATGGGAGGCTTGCAGCCTGGTTGGTTTTTGCTGTTCTGTTCTATCTTGTTCCCTTGTTGTATGTTGGTCCATTGCTTGTTGGTGAAGGAGTCTGTGAATACCCGGCTCTGCTAAATAAGATTTTCGATTTGGAAGAGTGACGAGACGACTTGAATGGTACTGGTAACTGCAGACGGGAGACACGTACGACGATTTCCTTGGAATCTGCTTGGAGTAGTGCCCTTCCATCTTGCGTCCCTACCGTCTCGTTTTGAGGCGAGGACGAGGCAGAAATGCCGAATCATCGGGCACAGGCGCAGTTTGAGCGCGCGAGATGGCGAGCGGTGGTGTTGTTTCCCATCTGGGCGCTTCAACTTCTTCTCACAACATCCATGATGGGCTTGTTTGCATGGAGGTTGGGTGATACTCTGAAACATTATGACGAGCGACAGAGCGCTGGCAAAGTTCCAACGGTTGAGCTGGTGTGAGTATTCAGACCTTGTTGCAGATTTATTCATGCCTTGCCGTTATGCGTCATCTAATCCGTAAATAGATGGGAAGCAACAAACGTCGCCATGTCTTTTGTTGCGGCAACGTGCACGCTCATAGAAATCGTCAAATACATGAGCGAAGCCTTGACGCCGTGGACCGTGCTGTTCACCCACGTTGTCAAACTAACGTGCGCTTCGGCGATCCTGGCCCTCGACGTGGTGTTTATGCGCAAGAGAAGGAATACCAGTCACTTGTCGGTATCGGCTTGGACGTCGCTTTATTGTACGTGTCGAACCGTGCAAGCACCCCTGACCCTCCCTGCCTCCCTCCCTCGTCCTTCACGGCTAATCATTCTCTGTAGTATCACGGCCATCACGCTGGCAATCTACGCCATTCTCACGTACAGGCGACTGTCGGCGTTTGACGACTACGTGCGCCCGGCCAACGTCAAAGGGTACGGCTTCAACGACGGCGAAGACGCCGACTTTTCATACACCAGCCGCCTGAGCATCCTACGTTCCGTGGATAAACGCGGGCCCGTTGGCTCACACCGCCCGAGCATCGGGTCTCTTCGATCCGCCAAAAACGAACCGGTCATGTTGAACGATATGCAACGAGCGCCAAGCTACTACAGCCACGAGCGAGATACGCAGTTTGACGAATACGTGGCGCGCCGGGGTTCGCTCGGCGCCAGATCAGATTTCGAGCGGCGGACGAGCAGCGACTACAGACGGGATAGCCCCCCGGGAGACGTGTCGCCGGACTCGCTCGTCGTGACGGGCACGGTGCCAAGCCGCACTCGAGGTGCCAGCATCACGCGTGAAGTTAGCTACACCAGCGACCATGTGCTGGTTGCTGTGCCCGAAGAAGACCACGAGGCGCCGGGTGAGGCTGCTCGGCAGAGCGACAGGACGACTTTGCTGGGGGGCAGTCTACGGAACAGCGACGAGAGCATTATGCAGCTTCGCCCGGTTCTTCAAGAGGTGGATGTTCCGGAGCCCAAGTGGCGGCGGGAGCAGGGCTCTGATGAGAATACGATATACCCTCGATGAAACGGCGTTTTCTTCTTCCTTTTTCGTTCTATTTTGGGTTTCTGTTTTGACAGGTTTGGCGGGCGGCCTTGGTTACATGTATATCTTGCGTTGAAGAATATGGCGTTTAGTTTTTTTTGAGATAAATTGCAGTGCCCTCGTAGCATCGGAAAACGACCTGGTGGATAGCCACCACAGTACTCCCTAATGTCAAGGGAACCGCGAAACTTGGACCAGGGAGCCGGGCAATCAGGTGTTTCGGATCTCGCTGCCCTGTACTCCGTAGGGCCGCACTGTAAATACAATAGCGAGCCTTGTCTTGGACGGCCCCAAAGTAAGTTAACTAACTACCCGAAATATCGGATCACACGTCACGAAAATGTGGGACCATCAGCGGCCCGGGGTCTGGATCCGATGGCCGCCTTGGATGAATTTGAAAGCTGGGGAGACCTGCTGAGCTGAATGGACGCCAAAGGTGGTTCCATTCACAAGCAAAAGCGAGGTTCAGAAGATGGTTCTTGAAAATTATGACAAAGCTGAGGAACCATTAAAGAATGCCGCTTCATCTTGGCAGAGTGTCTGCGGGAAAAAAAAAACGACTTGCTGGTTTCGTCATCATGAACGTCTCTTATTAACAATGGTGCCCTCCCCCTATTATTCAGAGCAATCTTCCCCAAGGACGCCTTTTAACCGTTCACTACCTTGTCAATAACCTTCATGGCTCCCATGAGTCTTTCATCCTCATGAGTCGGGGCGACTACCTGAATCGCCACAGGTAAATCATAGTACAAGTCGTTGTCATCTATTGCATGGGTGTCAGCCGAATCAGTCGTGGTCTCCAGTGAGCAATATGCGGCCTACAGAGATTCATATTCTCCTTATCCAGCTGATTCACGGGTTCATAGTCTGCCGGATAAGCATCCGTTTTGAGCACTCTTCCAGCGGGAATCACGCCACTGGGATAATCCAGCAGATTCCATTGTGCGCAGTACCCCCACCACGGCTTGACATCATGCGGCGTGCCTTGGACGGACGACACAGGGCAGACAAGCACATCTATGGGCTCACCGGAGGATGTGGAGTTTGCCGTTTCGGCCCATTTTTGGAGATATTCGGTGCGGTAGTCATCTCGTGCGAGGTGAAGCTGGAGATCCTTGTTAGAAGTGATGGAAAATGGACTTCTAGTTCCCTATGCGGCGCGGATATTTCTTACTTTCCATATCTCGTGGTGTGTTCTCTCCTTGACAATTGGATCGTCCAGCAATCTCTTTGCAGAAGGGAAGATGGGCTCGTTTCCAGCAAAGAGCGTTTGCTTTATGTCCCGACCGCCGTCAGTAAAGTACAGTGGTAGTAAGATGCCGTCCCATGCCCGTTTGTGATCGTACGCCCTGAACTCGGTGACTACCGCAGCATTAGTTCTGTTTTGTTTTTCAACGTTCTACAAACGCATCGTGTAGAACTACCTTCGTGTCCACAAGCTTTCAGCTTCTTTGCCACCTCCCCAATTACCCGTGTAATATATGGATGGGGCATCACCACCTCGTCCCAAAGCATGACACCGATTCGTAGCTTCTGATGGCGCATTTGGTTGCTTTGGGATACCCACGGCATGCGAAGCAACGGCTCCCTGAGCCACGGTTTCGCATCAGAATTGACTTGGAAGAAGAGTTCCAAATCATCGACATTGTGTGCCAGGGGACCTGCAGCGGCCACGACGGACTCCTGCCCCAGCATGGTACATTCTGATCCACGCAAGGAAACTCGCTTCGCCGAGGGCTTGAAACCATACAAACCGCAGTATGCAGCCGGAATTCGAATCGAACCGCCGAGGTCTGTACCGATTCCCAGGGGGGAGCCATGCATGGCAAGAAGCGCTCCCTCGCCACCGCTGGAGCCTCCAGGGCCAATCTTATTATTCCACGGGTTGACGGTCCGGCCGTAAATGTTGTTTACCGTTTCCAACGTCATCATGCACTGGGGGTTGTTCGTCTTGCAGTACATGATGGCACCAGCGTTGCGCAAAACGTCCACCAGCTGGGCATCCTGGTCCCTCACAGGATTCCGCGCAAAGGAAATATAGCCAGCTGTAGTGTGCTGGCCCTTGATGTTTATGTGGTCCTTGATCGAGACCGGCACTCCGTGTAAAGGCCCAATTGGCCTCCCCGTCGTCTTGAGCATATCGTCCAGCTGCCTGGCCTGCTCCATTGCCTCTGCGAAAAATATCTCGGTCAGGCAATTCGTCAATTGCTGCGCAACGGCGGCCTGGTGACAAAATGCCTCTGTTACCTGGATACATGACAGCTCTTGATTCCGGATCTTGGCAGCTAGCTCTGCAGCGCCGAGGGCTGTGATTTGCATCTCATTATACGACAGGAGGCGCGGCAGCAAGTCGATTGGACGGGCAGTCGAGCGGATTGCCTCGTCGAGCTTCAGAGGTGGAATTGTCCATCTTGTCGGGATAGCGGCTGCCCGTTTTCTCTGAAAGCGCTGCGTTGACGTGTTGGCATGAGTTGTGTTTTCAATTGCACACGGAAACGAAATACATACCTCAGCCAGACCCTGCCACGAAACGCCATTCATCTTCAGCGATCCTGTTTCGCACCCGCGAAACCGCCAACTCCTAGACTTGGGAAACGGAGAGGCGAAAATGGTCACAAGTCGAAGAGTTCTTGAAAAGGTTGCTCAAAATGTCAAACCGCCACTTGTGGACTAAAACTTCCTGCGTCGTTCCCACAAGATCCTCTTTTACAATCAACACCACCAGAAACTGTCGACTAGGCCGCCCTATTTAAAGCCCGACCCATCTCCTCCGTATGTACGGACCTTGGGAGACCTTGTAACACATCTTGTTCCAATTGTCTCCGCATCTTCTCTGCGGAGTTGGTACGCAGCGCACGCGCGGGCTTGGGCCAGTCAAACGAAGGCTGCAATGATGAAGTCTTGGCGAAGCAACACGGACAGGTGAACATTCAACTGCTCGTCGCCTGGCAGAGTTTGGCTATAGCATAATCGATACACATGGTGGGGAAGGGAGGCGCACTGTGAGGTCAAGTTGCGTCATGTTGTACCACGACGTAATGCAAGGTTGTACCGAATAGCGTTGGCAAAATAAATATATTAGACACACAAACATAGCTGAGCCGCCACTCTGCATGGAGGCCATTGTACAATGGGTCACGAGGTCCAAGAAATCGTTTGTTGGACAGGGAGGGCTGTGTGGTGCTTTGATGCGGTTGGTAACAGTTTGCATGGAGAAGCTCGACAGGGGCCGGCTGTAGATGCGGAGAACATTGAAGCCACTTTGCTTCTTGACAAGGATTCTAGCATCGGACGAGCAGAGGATGATGCCAAGCAGCTGGGGAAAGTCGCCTATCTCATGTGGAATGATCGCCCGTCTCTATCCCTGGTCTAGAGTTAACTGTACGTAAAAACCCTGGCGATCCGGGAAACCCCATGTGGAGGAACCCTGCGCCAGCGGCTGACAATTTCCAAGACGCATGAGGGTACGTCCGAGAAAGGTGCCCATTGAAGTCGGCGGTGAAGAATGACAAGTACGGTGCTTTTGCAGTCTCTGCTACAGTACAGTCTGAGCTTGGTCTCTCTCAAGACTTGCACAATGTTAGCCTGTAATCTACGTCCCAGTGGCAGATTCACTCTCACCACAAGAAGCATCGTGGATATGAAGTAGCTCGAAGGGCAGAGCTCACCATATCAGCATTTGTGGTGCTTGCCGAGGACCTCCGCTGTCCATGTCAGAAGAATTATTGATTGAAAGTATTGCGAATCTAGGGGCTTGTCCAGTCCAGTCCAGTCCAGTCCAGTCCAGTCCCGTCCAGTACTCTTCTCTCGACACCAGAGTCCCGGTAGCAGGACCTATCACCGCCTTGGCGATAAACGCAACTGGGATCGAGAAAATATGATCTCGATGCCCATACCGATATCGTAGCACTGACGTCTTTTTCCTTTTCAGAGCTGTAGAGCTGTTCATATTACCCCGTAGTAACGTGTGGGAGAGTATTCCGGTCTTGATATAGGCATGTGTCCTATACTTTGACTCGGCCATCGATTGGAAGGGATCCAAGGTTTTGCTGTTATGGCCCCAAACAAGGGCCTGATGCTGGTTCTGCTAGCCACAAATATTCGAATCGACCAGGAACACCTACAGATGTTCGCTAACTCAACGATATACGTATTGTAGGACTTGACGTCGGTCCCAGAACTGTCTTCCAGTTGTGTGCGCAATGTCCACTATCACAAAATAGAAGAGAAAACGCGACTCAGTAGAGCATCTGTTTCCAAGTGAAAAATTACTCTGAGACATCTCCGGCACTCCGTGTCACGTCATCACAGCGCTGTCGCCTTTACTCTTGCTTCCAGTTCCAAGCGGTGGCAATGTTCTGTGATTGGGGCAACAGCACAACCGTACGTCTCGTGTTAATCAAGTTGACCATGGCCTCTGTATGCACGCACTCGCCTGAGCCATATCGGGGGTCGATACATCACGTTTACTCTTCTCGGTCATACCACCATGGTGAGAAAGGAAAAATTCAGGGCCAATGTTTTTGTGTACTGAAACGGGATATTTCCGAGACCATGGATTGCGAGTCGACGAGTATCGTAAACAAAGGCAGTGCCATAAATGCGATGATCGCTCTGTAATATCTCCTGTTGCTTGTTCTTCATCTTAAGGAACCAGATTAGCCGAAATTAACCTTTTAAACTCCTCGTAATCAACCCAGCCGAATAGTCGTTCTTGTTCCCACGCATATTCCAATGTATCTAAAAGTCGTGAGACGTGCTAGACAGACAAAACACCGTCAGTTGAGGAAATTGGTGAGCAAGGAGATGAGGAGGCGCCAACCTTGAACCCAAAACCCCTCATAGCTGTCAACCGCTCTCTTATACTCTGTTGCTGCCCAGGATCAACTGTAGCGATTCCAGCCGTTAAAAGAGGCCACAGAACAGCCAGCTGGTTGATGCCGGACTGAAAGCCGATAATTAGAGTCAAAATGCGAGACACTGATGCTGCAACTTCCGGATCAGTTGCAGCGTTCCCGATTCTGCGTGTTCTAACCGTCTCCAAATGAACGGCACAGGCCAGAGAGTATACCTGAATGCATGAAGCGGCAGTCAGTGTCTCAAATTCCTCGAGCGTAGCATCCGATGGCATGGAATCCAGCTGGTGTAATCGTAGATAAATGTCAGGTGCTGACACTTGCCAGTTCCGCAGCCTGTAAGACAAGTCATTGTAGTACATATCTCTCTGGTGCTGTGTCAATCCTTCCTTTTCCATCTTGACGAACTTGCTTATATCTGTCTGAATAGACATGATTCGTGACCATGATTGACGTATTTGAGCCATTGTGCGGTCGGTTGGTGACCGAACTTTGGCGAAACTGGGGACCCCCATATTGTATTCCCATCCGCCCCCAAAAGTTTCCCAATAGTCACCTTGTATCAATGGCCCGTCCCCAGTTGCCAAAGATGCAGCGACATCCAGATACGCCATGAGAGAAACCAGAAATCGCCGTAGTGGAAGAGTGTGCGATACGCCAGACAATTCCATACCACTACTTTTGGTGGGACTTGACGGAGGGCCAACCCGTGGACTATACAAGGATTGGAATATCTGCGCAGCTCCGGCGAGATGAATCCTCCAAGACGCATCATTGGATGACATCTTTTCGAACATGCAAAGAAGCAGAGTTGTTGCTAAAAGCTCCAACGTAGGGTGGCCTTGGTTAAACGCTACAGTATCCCGGAGCTGTGTAACAACATTGCCATACGCTTTCATCGCTGCACTATGATGAACTTGACGGTTTCGAGTTTCCGGTAAGCCGGCAATATGCATGGCACCAAAGGCCTTCATGACATCTCGAAGCAAACCAGAATTGCCCATCAGACCCGGAAGCTGTCGGTACGGATTTGAGTTTGCAGGAGTGTCATAGATGATGAGATAGGATGAGACGGTTTCGAGGAAATGGTGCAAATAGAAGTTGTCGTTGAAACCAATTTGCCGTGGCATGTCGGTAGCCTCACACCAGTAGACGGGTGACGCCATGTATTGACCTTTGACAGGAAATCTGGCATGTTTAGAATTACAGGCAAAGTCTTCTGATATGAACGATAGGCTTGATGATGGAGTTTTCGACCCTGCAGGGGACATGGTATCCGTGACCGCGACAACATCAGTAGACAATGATTCCTGAGCGCTGATGTTATCCGTACCATCTTCACCACATGACGCTGAGCCGGATCTGCTGCATGCTCGTGGTTCTGAGGACGCCGTTGCGACCCTGCCACTCTTGTCAGCCTTGGGTCCCGGAGACCCTGCGTGTCTGACGGCTTTGAAGACAAATTTGCGGTCGAAGTTGCACAGGAGGTTTAAACGAGTGCAATTTGAGCAAGAAGGGGTGCGTTCATCACATTTGACATGCCTCCGGCGACAGTTGACGCAACCCGTGAAGACTCTGGAATGCCATTTTCGTTGTCGCACGGGTGCTGAAGCCTCGGGCCTTGCATCGGGGTCCGGCTTCACCATCGCCTTTATGTCATTGCTGTCCACGGCGTGGAAGATACCACCGACCCTTGCGTCAAGAAGTTGCCAAGAGCCGCTGAGGAAGGCCAGATCATCGAACGAAGGGCCGAAGCTGAAGTCTTGCCTTGCGTGGCAGTGAGTGGCAGTGGGCGAAGGGTCAACGTTGAAGGCGACTCCGTCTGGAACTTGGACTTGAAGAGCACATGCACAATCGTCGTCACATCATCACCTCATTGCGTCGCCTGCAAAGCCAACTGGGAAGTATTTTCAAAACCTGGCGCAACAGTGGTCGCTCCTGCCAGTGGAAGAGTCCATTGGCCCATCACGTGGAACCCGGTCGGGCGCAAATCTGGAGGTTCCTCAGTTACGAGAGCGGGTTACACTCTGGCGTACTACGTATGTACTCTATCCCAGCATCCCAGGATCTATAAGGGTGCGAAGCGCAAGGTCAGAGAGACGCTACATGTCACCGTAGCCTCATGGACGCCCTATCGGGGGTCCTGCCTCGTATCGTATGGTCTCGATGCAAGAGATTGGTGGAAACGACTTGATTGGCTGAGACAAGGCGATGGTTCTTTGACTGGCCGACTGTCGAGATGTTTACATCTACTCCGTAACGTGTTGGCGAAGACAAGTGGGTATGTTTTCGATCCGAGACCATTGTACTTGGCAAAGTGTCCAAAACGTAGTTGGGCGCTTTGAGAGTTTCTTCGCCAAGATCGGTCTGATCTCGCACCTTATCTATATAAACCGTCGTTTTCGCCGAATACTCTTGCATGACTAGCTTACGTCTCACTTTATCCACCCGCATCGGCGATGAGATGGAAGACTCCCACGTTCTTGACATCACTTCCACGTGGTGAAGATTAATTCACTAGCCCCAGCAAAGTGGTTTTGCCACCAAGCAAGCCAGACTGAGACTGGGCGACTACTAAGATGCGATCAATAAGGGCAGAATACGATCCGGCCTAATTAAACAAAAAAAAAAAGGAAAAAAGAAAATGACCAGAGCGCTATTTATCATTGCAGCAATAACATGCCCAAGTTTCATGGTCACGGATAAGGTTCAGGAGTAACTATTGTTCGACCGGGACCGAAACAGATCCGTCCCCCTCGTTCTCCGTGAAGGGACAGATGGTCGTGGGAAATGGAATTGTCCTTGTGGTAGCCAAGAACCTTTCGATTTTTTTCTACCTGAGAGCGACCGCCTCACAGAAGGTGACGCAGGCGTTAGTAAAGGGCAAGATCATGAATTTCTTCGGTGAAGATCTTCCTTTGGAAATAAATGTCCCCAGACTGTAGTCAATTGGATGGATGGCACGGAACACCATGGTGTCTGGTATTACTTAATCAGTCAGTCAAGCCTGATTGATCTCAGTTATCTGGTGGAGTGGTCTGCAACGGACATGGACTTTTGTAGACTTTTACCAATCTTAATGAGCCTTCTGGCCATTCATCACAATATTGGGAAAAAATAATAACTCAAGAGCTCCGTAGAAGATAGAAATATTTTGAAGCTGCCTGTCCGCTCTACGACCTGTTATTCCACTTCCACCTGCCAGACTCGTGGCCGTCCAGATCCGACTCATCGGGGCTGAACACCAGAGCCGTAATCAGGTGCATAGGAGGAACCAAAACCTAGTTGGCCTTCAAGTCAAAATGGCCAAAACTGTCATTGCGTTTGATCTCTACGGCACATTATTGTCGACCGAATCGATTGCAAATGAGCTGGCCAGGATCTATGGCAAGGATGAGGCTGAGATAATCGCCACCCAGGCAAGGCGATACCAGCTCGAATACACCTGGCGCATTAATAGCATGGGTAAGCAAAACACACCCCATCTTTAAGACAAACTAAAAAAGAAGTAAATCATCTGTGGCGACGATGTAGCCTGCTACACCGAGGTACTCAAGCATGTTGCATAGCCAAGCGGTGATGCTATGCTGTTCACGCCGCGTCCAGTAACTGACCATCAGGTAGGCCTATATCGATCATTCTCCGAATTGACCAGACACTCCTTTCGCCAGGCAACTGCAGAAATCGGCCTGGAGCTTTCCAGGGACCAAGAGGAACGCATCCTTGATGCTTATAACGGACTAGACACATTCCCGGATGCAGACAAGGGTCTCGCGCTTGTGTCGCAAACGCCTTCTCTTAAACCGTATATATTTTCCAATGGAACCATGGCGATGATTACTTCTTCGCTCAAGACCTCGCCGTCGCTTTCCAAGTCTGGAACGACATTCTCGGAGTCTAATATTGTTAGTGTCGATCCCCTTGGCGTGTTCAAACCGGATCCTCGGGCGTATAGACACATGGGTGAGATAGCTGGTTTGACACATCAGTTGGAGAAGGTCTGGCTTGTGAGTTCGAATCCATTTGATGCTGCGGGTGCTATTGCCGCCGGCCTGAGAAGCGTTTGGGTGAGCCGACAGGGAACTGGGTGGATTGATGGACTGGGCGGTGCACTTGGTGTCAGTCCAACGGCAGTGGTTGGGAGTGTTGAGGAGGCTGTGAGGGAGATTATCAAATTGGACGGTTTGGACTAGGCGTCAGAGGCAAAGCTGATGTTTCTTGTCCTGACTTATCTGCGTACTTTGGTGGAGTGTGCAAAACTGCCAGGGAGAGTGTTTGTCTGGGAGTTCGACCACGTTTCTGTCAGAAAATGTTGAGTTGAGGACTGATATTACAATTTACCGTTCTGGACCTTTTTTATTTATTTATTTATTTATTTTTTAGTAGAAATCGCCTATTAGTCCCTTGTTTCGTTTGTCACGGCGACAATGATGTACAAATCATTACTTGTAGCAATTTTTTTTCGAACATGATAATCCGAGAAGTATCTCTATAAGTGTAGGAAAAGATCCTGGGCTGCATACATACAAAATAGAGAGTGTTTCGGTCGAGTACCAGTAGCAATAAACGATATATAAATAGGAGTCTGTTAATCCTCGAAGTCTAGAGATGTCCTGGTATCCAAATATGACTGACTGTGCTCAAATCCTGACTCGATTGGACTTCACTTGTCATGAACCCGCGACAGCATTCAATAGCACTGGGACGTAGCCCCAAGATGCCCACCGATACTGTTAACCACCACAAGCCATCCGAGATCTCGTTCTTGGGCAGGACAGCTTCTTCCTGCATCTGTCTTAAAGTACGTGATGATAAGGCGACAGAGAAAAACGTGAGTCCTGATGGCTCTAGAAAGAAGGGGTCAGCTGCAGCTATTGATGTGAGGAAACATAGCATCACTTGGTTTTAGGAAGTCCCGCGGTCAGATGTGCCTGGTGTTGAACCAACGCATTCACATGACAAAGTCTGTCTTCGAAACCGAGTGAGCTCTGGACTCGATGCTGCATATTGACAGGAGACGCGTCATGCTGGAGTCCCTTGAAGTTTAATATGTGGCTGCTGACAAGGGTACTGAGGCTTGTCGCTAGCGCTTGATGTCAAGTGAGTCAGTCAACCAGACTGGACTGCACATTGTTGCCAGTTCGACCAGCGTTTCTGCAACTCCGGCAGGCAACATTAACGGCCGTGACCTGGCGCTAGACAGGCTGGGAACCTCGGCCCCTGTCACAGCGGCTGCAGGGGCTGTGGCTCCCGCTAGACTGCTGGCTGATATCCACTAAGATTGAAGCCAGGCAGTGGACATGTCGGTTGAGAGTTCAATCCTCGCTGAGCGGTGGCCATTGGCTGGCAGGCGATTACGGATCCACACCTACAGACGCAGTGCTTGCTTGACCTTCGGCATGAGTTGGTCAAGGCAATCGCATCAGACTCGTTTGAACTCTCTAATCCAACAGCCTGTGCGTTGCTAAACTACCGCCAGCTCTTCTTGTCCCGTAGAGAGCGATTGAAGCACGGAGGATAGGCCTGTGTGTCTGCTGTTTCACGTGCAGATATATTTTGTCAACCCTACGAAACTTGGCGAATAAACACAGTCAAGCCACAAGCAACAATGGCTCCAGTTGGCGACTATGGCGACAGCCCTAATCAACGGTCCTCCCGCGACGACGACGACATGGACAGAAGAGACAGCTATACAAGCTCACGGAGAGCTCCGGCTGGCGGGCGCCAGGAACGAGAAAGGTCCCGTGACAGAAGGCGGCGCTCGCGAACCCCAGACTCTCCTGGCCGGCATCGCCGTCGCCGGCATCGGTCCCACGATCGAGAGCGTGAAAGGGGACGTGGCGGTGACTTTGACAGCCCCTCCGGGAGGGACAACAAAG